AGGGGGATACGCGGGCTAATCTAAAATAACCCTGGTAGTGTGTTATTTGGTTAGAATAGGGCTCCTCTAATACGTAAGGCAATTGGGGAATTAAATTCTACGGGCGTACCTAGGATTATTTCTCAATTAGAGCGGTGATTAACGGGTGTACCTTGATCACCGACACAGTAAGGAGGGGTTGACTGCCATCGCTTGTTTGGTAGTTATAACCTATTTATTGGTAAATAATTGGGATTGCCTTGCATCAATGATCAATTAGGTGAACCATTGCTGAAGTTACTTCTTGGCTAGATCTTTAATTAATATTATCTTGATTTTAGTGAAGTGCCATTTGGTTTTTGGTTGTCTACTTTATTACATTTTTAATTGTTCCCTTGTTTCAATAGATTTAGGACTTTAATTATTGTTATTCTAAGTTCAGTGAATTGTGGTTTAATTTATAATTAGTTATTTATTTTTATTTTCTTATTTGAATTCATTTGATTGTTGGCATTCCTACAAAATCACCCCCTGTGTTGTTTTGGATTTCTTAAGAAACGAATATACCCAATCCCTGTGGATACGACCCTACTTGCCCTGTCTACGCATTCATAATTATTTGTGAAAAGAAATAACCAATCCATTCAGGTATATCGGATCAAGCAAACTCTTCGGGAACAGGGTGAATCAAGTAACTCATTGCACACCTAGAATCCCTGCTCCAGTACTTGGAATTGGGTTTGGTCATTTTAACTGGCAAATAGGTTTAATTTTATTATTGCACAGGCTGACGACCTGTCATAAATATATATAGACTTTACCACTTGTTTAGTTTTTATTTGATAACTAAATTTTTTTTAATAAACTTGTTTATTTTTTATTATACAATTAATCTTTTTAACTTTTAAACTAACAATATTTGATTAGTTAGAAAATTACTTTGTTTTTAAATAATAATAAAAAATAATGCTATATTATTGAAAAAAAGCGATATAAATTTTGTTTTATACTTGACTATATCATTTATTTATTTAAAAGTATGATAAAGTGAAATTAAATCTTCTATTAATATCTATATATTTACTATATATCTTTCTAAGTATAATCATTAGTATCTAAAAGTACTTTGTTTTATGTATATTAAAATTACTATTTTATATTTATAAATATTAAATTAATACTCACCGGTTTAACTGGTTATCCCGTCCCTCTGCCAGATTCCTTATCGGGCCGGATTTAATAACCACTCAAGGCTATGACCCTTTGATGTCGAGTACTACAGGTGACTCCTTCCCACTGGCAATGGTGTTGTGAGTGGTTCCAGGATTTCAGCACTCCAAACGGGTCATCATATATCTGATTCTTGAACTCAAGCAGAGCAAGGCGATCAGTCTCATTTTGAAATTGTTTAGAAGCTGAAACATGGCTTACTGAAAGGTTCATGGCAACTAAGAGAAGGAGAAATATGTTTGCTAATGTCGATGTGCGAAATCCCCACATGGTCCTTGTTGGGATCGGCTACAAACTGATGATTGAATGATAAAAGTTTCTGTGTATTGGGAACACGGTTGAGCAGTTAAAGATTAGAGCTTAATAAAGAAATGGTCAGATTTAAGCATATCGACCGTGATCCAATTCCTGGTACCGGTAGTTTTTCAAACCACGAAAATTACTTGCAAAGCAGATCGGAAACAATTAGAAGATAAATTCCCAATGTTTTGCATTGTGGATCATTCATTTGACTAATTAAATTTCACCTCTAGTGAATTTTTCATTGATATATTATTGATCCAAAGTAATTGTACATCTATAAAATGTTGGATCCTTATGATTTAACAAAAGGAAAAATTGATCGAAACACTTCTCATATTTTGTCAAATAAATGTTTTCATTCCTGATTTTTAAATCATTGAACTTTGTCGCTTACAAAATCTAAATCGATCAAATTTAGTCTCAATTTGATTTTCTTAGCAAGTCAAAGAAAGTTGTCTCTGACAGGGCGCAAACTCCATAGTCATTCTGCCGTTTGACACTCTATGGTGGAGTATGAGAGATGATCAATAGTCTTCCCAGTCTGGCCCACAATTAAAATCAAATTTAACGGAAGATGGACTCTCAACTATTCTATCGTCATCCGAACCAATACCGCTGGGCCATTCAGTGACTGGATTAATGAATCATAATTCAAGACCCACAAAATGACCGCCATTGAAACTGAAACTTTTCCACACGAGTGATTATGAACCCCCTTGGCCTCTTTGCCATGGGCCCAGTTGGCAGACTTATTAAATTGGGCAAACTATACTAATACCGGCTGAACCCTTTGAAAAAATTTCTTTTTGTTCACTTGATTTTTTTTCCCCAATTCCATTTGATCATTTAGCTTAGCTTAGGCATCATCTTATCTTTCCCATTCGTCTAATTTCTGCCTTTATCTCAATGATTAAAAGTTCCCAGATTTAATACGGTATTTTCTCCAGAGACATTTTCATCTACTGTCTTCATCCGTTTAGATCTAGAAATGAGAATTTGGACATATTGATGAGGTATGGGTATTAAGTATCGGATTAATAGATGAAATTGGATGAAATGGACAAAATGTGATATTTACTATTAGGGTTTTTCTAACGGACAGCTTAAGGTACTCGATAAGACATTTAATATTCACCTAACCTATCATATATATATATATACACACACACATATATACACGCATACTAACAATCATTATCCTCCATTGCATTTATATACTTTCTCTATTTAATTTGGCTTATCATCCCTTGTATTTATTTACTTTTTCTAATTAATCTTATATTTCCAAAAATCTAACACCTGAAATATAGTTTAACGGTGCCCTATAAAGCAAACTGTTACTATTATTGTATAACCTATTTGAGACACCCTCAACAAAATAGGAATACAAATAAAAAAGGTTAGTACATACCGACTGATTATGCAGGTGATGCTGCATATGATTATCATGTCTTTTAATACTAAATGAAGTTTTTTTTTATGACCACCATGGCCATCGATAACTTGATTGGGCAATGTATGGATATGCTAGCAGGGAACATATGGGCTTATTGTGCAATTGACCCCTGCCCTCTGCCCCTTTATGTCGTTCTCATTGTGGCTAAGATTTCATGTGATAGCAAAATCAACATTCAAAGAAAGGCATGCTTATGTAAATCAATCATAGGAGCAAGAGCATGCCCTGTAATTAAGTACAGTACAATTTATTGTATAATGTTTATTATGGAAACATAAGATTCAAGTATAATACAGGAGGATAAAGATGTTCAATCAGAATTGAGCCAATTGACTACCTTTCAAAACATTCAGTTCATTTATTTGATTGAAAGAACATACAAACATATTTGAGTCGTCCATTTGTTTTCTCAAATAAAAGAGCCAAAGGTGTCTTCTTTAGCTGCTCACACAGCTAGCTACTTCAGCACAGAGATTCAGACCAACGAACAGCTGCAAATCCAGATACATCTTTTTCCACGCTAGTGAGCACAACACATCACTCCTTTTTTTTTTGTGGCTAAAATAGATTTTGAATAGTAGAAGTGAGTTAGCTTGCAAGACTGGTCAAGAAAAAATCGTTTGTCTAAAATAGAAAAACTTCAAGTTGTGACTGTATTAAATTCTCACGTATACCTGTAGCAATTAAACTTCAAGACTTTCCTGAGGTACCCTGACACCAAGAAAAACACCCTTAATGAGATGTAATTTGCTGACAACTTCATTCATGTGCATCCGATCATTTGGCAATCTTTGTGAGCATTTGAGGCCGAGTTCCAACAGGGAAATAACACACTCCATCTCTCTTCCACCATTGATATTTTCCCTTCCAGGAGTCATTCTTCTGTTTCCATCTTCTTCTTTAAAAAGAATCAAGGGGTCTATGATCTCACAAACTTGTTCAGGCAGAGCTTTATTAACATAGTTATAACCCTCTGATGTCGAGCACCACATGTGATTCCTTCCCACTGGCAATGGTGCTGTGAATGGTTCCAGGAGTTCAGCACTCCAAGCGGGTCATTGTATATCTGCTTCTTGAATTCAAGCAGAGCAAGACGATCAGTTTCATTTTGAAATTGTTTAGAAGCTGAAACATGGCTTACTGAAAAGATCATGGCAACTAAGAGAAGGAGAAATATGTTCGCTAATGTTGATGATGAGCGAAATCCCCACATGGTCCTTGTTGGGATCGGCTACAAACTGATGATTGAATGATAAAAGTTTCTGTGGATTGGGAACACGGTTGAGCAGTTAAAGATTAGAGCTTAATAAAGAAATGGTCAGATTTAAGCATATCGACCGTGATCCAATTCCTGGTACCGGTAGTTTTTCAAGCCACGAAAATTACTTGCAAAGCAGATCGGAAACAATTAGAAGATAAATTCCCAAAGTTTTCCATTATTTATTAGAAGATCATTTATTTGACTAATTAAATTTCACCTTAGCTTCGTTAACCCGACAGTTGGTTTGCTCCCACGAACAATTCAGTGAGTTGATTTGAGAGATTGGCCATGATTTTAGGTACATTACCTCCAAGTTTATTGGCACTCAAGGAAAGAATTCTTAGATTACTGCAGTTGGTCAGTGATGCAATAAAATCCAAGTCTCCTGTAGAATTATTGCCGAAGAGATTATCACTAAGATTTAATAATTTAAGTTGTGTCAGATCTCCTAAATTAGTTGGAATTTGGCCTGCGAACTTATTATAGGGAAGATCAAGTATCTCAAGCCCAGAAGCATTAGTGATTGAAGATGGAAAGTTTCCATAGAAGTTGTTTCCCCCAACACCTAATGCTTCCAGATTTGGTAGGGTGAGACCTATGTTGGTTGGGAGATTGCCATGAAAGGAATTGCCGGCCACTGAAATGACAGTAATGGCTGAACTATTAAAGATGGAGGCAGGGATTATACCAGATAGTTTATTTTCTGCAGCTGAAAATATAGATAACCTTTTTAAGAGCCCCATTTCCATGGGCAAATTTCCCTCCAGATTGTTAAAGGCAAGACTGAGTGTAGTCAGCGATGATAAGTTCCCAATGGAGGAGGGAATCTCTCCTGTCAAATTGTTTGCGTGAAGATAAAAATTCAAGCTTCTTCAAATAGCTCAGCTGATCAATTGGAATCTTCCCTTCTAGCTTGTTACTGGTTAGGTCAACAGCTATCATCTCTGCGCAGTAGTTCAATTTTGCTGGGATTTTTCCACTGATTGCGTTACTTGAGAGGTTCAAGGCTCTTAGCCTGAAGAGGCGACCGAATTCTTGGGGAATCTCACCATGGAATTGATTCTCCGCAAGTAGGATGAACCTCATGAAGCTTAGATTTCTGACATGAGGAGATATGGTTCCAGACAACTGCTTATGCCTTAGAATCAAGGCTATGACCCTCTGATGTCGGGCACTGCATGTGACTCCTTCCCAGTGGCTAGGAGAAAAATGCTCGCTAATGTTGATGATGAGCGAAATCCCCACATGGTATTGGGAACTTCCATGAGCTGTTGGATGCGAAGATGGATTAATTTGCAACAAATTGATGATTGAATGATAAAAGTTTCTGCGGAATGGGAACAATAATGTTTGAGCTGTTATAGATTCTTGTAGTTGTGCTTATATTAGCCCAAACAACTGGAACGAAATATTTTCTTGGTATATTTTCGAGTAAAATTAGCTAAACTTCGTTGTGAGAAATGGTCAGCGAGCTTCCACCAACTTACAATTTCGTAACCTAATAAAACAAACACGCAAGATGATTATTGGTCCTTTACGTATCAACGTCTAAATTCTGGTATGCATTTTTCAGTCAATCTGCCTAGGGGAGTCAGTTGCTCTGCTCTAAGTCTACACAAACATACAAAACTGAGCACAAATAATTTATCTGAGGTTGGAGAAAATGTATTCTTTTTTCTTTACCTAAACAATAAAAGTATTCTCTTCGTCTTACTTAGTTATATTTTTATTCCTTTTTCCTCATCTTCTAATTGACAACCAACCTAATGTCTTGTCTCAACTTACACTTCTTTGTGTGTTTTACGAGATGTCAACCACAATTTTTGCGATGACTAGTCAGCGGCGGATTTGCATGGAGCACCGAATTCCATTAGTATAGCCTTCAATTTTAGTAATTTTTTCGCTTTGCCCCCCAATAAATTTTCCTCAAAAGTGAATGCACTGCTCCAAAATCAAATTACTAGGTTTGCAATTTGGTGGAATTGGAATATTAAACAATTCAAAATCAAATGCTTTTTACTCTAATCATTTGGTTTCCTTGAAAGTCATTTTAATTTACTACTCATTAATTAAATACTTTCTTTGGACTTTTTCCAATAAAATAAATATAGAATTAAGAAATCGTTTGTGCAATGAAAAATAAAGAGAAAGTAATATTTTCCAATACAGCATACTTAACAATATCACTGGCAAACGAGCAGTTTAAAAATGTTTAGCATGCTTTTTAAAAGAAAATGATTATTTTATTAGTAAGTTTTAGCATGTCATTTTGGGTTATATTAATCATGATATGCATGTATTACATTTACTTGTTATACAAATGCTATTGTTATGGCTTTCAGAAAAAAAAAAAGAAGAAGAAATTTAATATTAATTTTGTTTCCACTAGAAATTATTTCTGGCTCTGCGCTGTGACCAGTGTAAAGGTTTGCATTAGCATGTTCGTATCTCAGAAAACTTTTTCTATGAGAAACATTATTTCCAAAAGCTAAAGAGGAAAATTAATAGAATGGAAAAATCGTCCAACAGGTCAAATTTGGTTCAAAGTTTTATGCATGACTAAGTTTCTTTCTTATTTGCTTCAGTGTTTTATGCATGATTAAGTTTCTTTCTTATTTATTCTTAGGTAAGTTAATTATACTTTATCATCTTGTGTATCAGAGCCTTTCCACCTAATCCCTTCGTGATTAAACCAAAGTGTCAAGCGATAGGAGATAACGTTCAAAGTATAGAATCTCACCTCAAACAAAGACCCTAGGACGTAATTGGATCTACCATTGTTTTTGGTATAAAAGTTCCTGTAAAATTGAGAAATGCCTATAATGGATTAACTGAAATGTCAAGATTATCCTCGTTTCAAAGCTAAAATCACTGGAATGGCAAAAATATATACAAATGTAGTATGCATTACACTTTAACCCCTATAATTTAGCATATTTTCAGATAACCCTCTTACGATTTTCTAATCTATGTATAACCCTCATCATGTGGTTAATAAATAATTTCCATCTTGACATTGGAATAATTCTAATATTTTAATCAACTTTGCCACAAAGGAAAAATGTGAGGAAACCAATATTTTTAATCAACTCTCAAAACCATAGGAGAGCTAAGTGATAGCTCAATCCCACACCATAAAGTTAAGACATGTCAAACTAGAATATAAATAGGAATCTAAGAGTTCAAATTAAAATTGAGACATTCATTTTGTCCTAATTAGGACGGAACTTAAAATCATAAATAATTAGATTCGGCCGCTAACGCTTGGGGTTAGGTCAACAGATTTTCAAGCTAGGGCCTCTTTTTTGGAATGATAACCAATTCTAAAGGTCCATTCGGTTCATGGGATGATATATGATTGGATTAATCATTCTATGCCATCCCGTGTTTGGTTGCAGTTTACACATAAAATGACACATTCCAATTAACCGAATTAATCCCCTATATATGTGATAAAATAATCCTATGGGAGAGGTGATATTAGTCATCTTGGAATGACTAAGAGATAGGATGATGAAATGTTAGACTAACTTATCCTTACAAATAATATAAATTTACACTCTCATAATTATATAACCTTACCCTCACATGATACTATAATATGAATAGACTAATTTGCCCCTACAAATTAATTTATAATTTTTGACTAATTTGCCTCTACCACCAACATAACAATTTTTGAACTAATTTGCTCTTGCAATGATACAAATTCATACTGAATATTATATAACCATATTCTCACATAATTACGTGATAATAAATGGATTAATTTGCCCCTACTAATTATATTAAAAAGATTTACTAATTTTCCCTATTCATTATTTAAAATTTTTGACAAATTCATCTTTATTAATTAATCTAATTTTTTTGACTAATTTGCCCCTATTTCATAATAAAAGGACTATATTAACGGTGGACTACATTGCCCTTACAAACCTTATTTTCTCAACCAAATTCTATAGAAATACATAACCTTATCAATTGAGCTTTGCAAATGAGGGTTTCAATAAGCTCCACCTCGGCCCAAAGAAAAATTTTCTATATTGGCTTGAGTTTGGCTGATTTAAAACTTTTAAATGGGTTGGATTTTATTCAATTTAACCCTTGTTTAGCCAAAATTTCACCCCGCTCTTTTATGAAATTTCAAATTTAAATTCAAAAACTAGGTTAAACCTATTTTTAAAGGTACGAATCGGCTGAGTTTGAGCGAATGCAAATTTTTATATATCAAAACTCTTGATTTATTTTATAATTCTAAAGTTTCAAATTATTTTATTTTAATAAAAGCTATAAATTATTAAATTATTTTACTAAAATGATCCTACAAATTAAGGGGTAATGTGATTATTAAAATAGTAATCCTATCTCATCCAATATCCAATCAAACACAGGATAGAGTTATTTTTCAATATATTATATTCAACCTAGAACCAACCAAACACTGAATAACTTGGATTATTAATTTGAGAATGACTCAACCCAGGATTAATAATCCAAGGATGAGTCTTTCCATTTCATCCGGTCTGTGAACGAAACGAACCCTAAAGCCACGAAAACAAATAAATTGGGTAATAAAGTAGGAGCCTTTATGCTAACAAATCTAATGATTTGGATGTAAAGTGGCTTATCGTCCTCTCAACTGTATATAAATCTATGTCTTTTTTTTTTTATTTTGAATAATTACCATTATTTTAGTTCAACAGATGGATGGGCTAAATGTAGACGTCTCAATACTAAATGCACATGTTTATTATTAAAATTAAACAAAAAGAACAAATGCTTAAAATCGAGATAACGATCCTTTGCAAACTGAATAAAGAGTTGGCGTTTTGGCCACCAAAAAAAAAAAAAAAGAGTTGGCTTCGATAAATCCCAGCAGACTGTAGTTTTTTTTTTTTTTCTCTTTTTTTGGAGCAAAATAGAAAAGAGTTAGATAAATCACCGTTTGTGCCACCACAAAAATTACAGCAAAATGCCACTGTATGGTAACAAAGTGGTTGTACCTATGATAAAGCGAATTCATGCTAGATATAAAATCTGTTTCAATGGGAAAAAAAGTTTAGTAAAACTTTTAAGTGTATTTATTTCAAATGAATGCAATTATTGGAACTAATTACACATAATAATCACTACAAATGAATATTAAAAAATAGCTCAATAAAAATATAGTTACCTGTATGTTCAAACATGAGGGAAGAGGGCAATAAAGGCACGGGGAACAGGGGAATAAGATGAATTATATTCCCAGATATTGGTGGCTAAAAAACTTCTTTAACCCAATCTTCAAATGCTCAAGCAGAGTTGAGCCGGTTGACTTCAACTTTTAAATCAGCATGACTAACACGACAAAACAAGAAAATAAAATGTTTAAAGCATACATTTATTTTTCAAGTAAAAATCCATAATTATGTATCTCTTCATGAGTGCACCAGCTAGCAATTTCACGTCGGAGCTTCAGATCTGCATACAGCTGCAAATCCAAAGAAAACCAGGCGTCATCCCTTCCCACCAAGAAGATATCCATTTCCATGCTAGGGAGTGAATTAAGACTGTCAAATTAAGCTTGTCTTGTACCCTTCTGGTGCTATATGCTAATGTACCTGTCAAGCCTCAAGATTTTTCTTGATGTACCTTGATACCAAGAAACACATCCATAATGGGATGTAATTTTTGCACAATATCATCATAATCATCATTATCATTTTCATTACTTTTATAAAAGCATGGTGAATATTGGTGCTTTGGAGTGTAAGTACGATATTGTCTTAATCTTTGCACTTCCCATTTATCTCGAACAAGGTTGACAGGTGTCGAGCCTATGCAATAATAAATACATACTCGAGAAAAATACAGATTTTGTATATAGCGGTGAGTAGGGTCGAATCCACAGGGACTGGGGATAATTCGTTTCTTCTAGAGTTCAAAGTATAGGGGGTTTTAGGATTAAATGCTAACTAAACAATTTAACTGCAGAAAATAATTAATGAAAAGAAATAATTAGGAGAGTTCTAGCCAAGGGTACACTTCAGAAATGGTTCATGCACTGATCATTGATGCAAAAATAGTTCCAACATTTATTAATAGATCAGTTATAGTTGTCATACACGCGATAAACAACCAACCCTTCCTTAATTTATCGATAGTCAAGGTACGACCGTTAACTACTTCCTAACCCAAAAACAACCCTAAGTACGACCGTAGGATTTAATTTCTGGTTTGCATTAATAATTAGAAAGACTCAATCCTAACTAACAAACACGCTACGAGGGTTTGTTTAAGCTAGATCGTATGTTCCCCTGACATAAACCCAATTACGCCAGTTGCTACTGAGATAGGGATAACGAACAATTACGGATTCAATCACCCCTAACTAGCAAAATAACCTATATGAAGAATTAATTATTGCGCACTAATCAATCATTCACACGAGTTATAGCAATTAAAAGCAGGGAACATATAAATATCAATAAATGAGGGAGCAATTAAAATAAATTAGATCTCACAGTAATAATTGAACCAAGTCGTCCGTTGTTCCTTGACTAGAAGAAGAAATTTAGCTACAAATCATGATCTCAGGCATCACGATTGGGTCTAGGGAAAATCCCATTGCCATGAACGAAAAGCTAACGAGAATTGCACCAGAAATTGTATTCCGTGGTGCGAAAGAGAAAAAGAAGCGAAAAAGAGAAAAATTTCCTAAGCTAGAACTTGTTTCTGCCGAGAGAGAGAGCTCCCCGGAAGCCAGCGAAGGGATTGTATTTAAAGAGTCCTCGTGCGGCTGTCTCCAAAAGAAACCCAGTAGTCTTCCTGCTTTTGTGGGTCAGCACTTTTAGTCAAAGAAGGAACCCAATCAATTGAAATCCAATTGAAGTCTTGTTGCCAAATGACTCTTCACGTGCAAATTGGCTAAGTCAGCATTGTTCCAGAATTGTCACCCGCGAAGGAATCTCCAAATATTTGGAAGTTTGCACGTGGCCAACAATCCCGCAAATCCGGCTTTGGACATCATACTTAGGCGTGGGCACGCCAAACTGGGAGTCTGCTGGAATGACGATTTTCAGTACTTTTTCTTCACCACTTCCTGCAATTAATCCCAAATACCAAATATAAATAGAATATATCAATTAAGATAATATTTGACTAAAATCAAAGGGAAAAATAATTATAAGTTTAGCACAAATTATGACTTATCAAAGGTTCATATGCTGACTTGAATTAAAGATTGGACCAAGAATTGGCTGAGTCTGCCAATCACAATTTATTAAAATCCTTGAAAGGTTGACTTGGTTTTTTAGTTTCAAAATTGGCATATTTGTTTTCCACTTGCACAAAGAATTGGTCAAACGAATGAAGCTCTATCACTAGCTTCGTTAACTAGCTTCGTTAAAGTGACAACTATAGAAAATTACTCCTCACTAATCTGAGATGAAATCAAGTTTCAGACAGTTCTGGAATTTCATATACTTATGGAGATTGATTTTAGTATCAACAAGAAATGGAATTATGGAGATCCATTTTTTCTCGCAGAAGAGGAATAGATTTGTAAATTAAGCGTTGACTGAAAGTTTCTACAGGCCAATAGTAAGCATGGACTGAATACTCCTATTGTATAATGTATATTGTGGAAGCATAAGATCGAAGCATATTATGGAAGCATAAAGATGTTCAAGCAGAATTGAGCCAATTGACTACCTTTCAAAACATACAATTTTTGTAAAGAAAGACTAGGAATGTATTTGAATCATCCATTCATTTTTTCAAAGAAAAAGCCTTAGATGTCTTCTTTATCAGTTCATCGAACTAGCAACTTCATCTTGGTGATTTAGACCAGCAAGCAGCTGCAAATCAAGATTTCAAGCATTAGTACGAGCAGACATCCTTTTCCATGCTAGTGGGCACAACACATATTGTATAACTTTTCTCTTGTTTCCGGATATTTTTTTTTTTTTTTGGGTCTACAATGGATTCTGAATGATAGAAACCAGTTAGCTTACAAGACTTCGTCCAAAATAAAAGAACTTATCTAAGATAGAAAAAAAATAATGAACTTCAACTTGTGGGCTGTATTAAATTCTCGAGTATACCTGTGGCTATCAAACTTGAAGATTTTCTTGATGTACCCTTACACCAAGTAAGACATCCTTAATGAGATGTAATTTTCTGACAACTTCATTAATGTGCATCCGATCATTTGGCAATTTTGCAGAGCACTTCAGTCCGATTTTTAATAGGGAAATAATGCAATTAATCTCTCTTCCACCATTAATAGTTTCCTCTCCATGAGTAATTCTATTGTTTTCATCTCTTCCTTCAGAAAGAAGCGACGGGTCCACGATCTTGGAGACTTGTTCATGCAAAGCCCTGTTAACATAGTTATGTATATCTAGGTCATCCATGAATATATGACAGGTTGTCGAAGCCTGTGCAATAATACAATTAAACCTAATTGCCAGTTAAAATGACCAAAACCCAATTCCAAGTACTGGAGCAGGGACTCTAGGTGTGCAATGGGTTACTTGATTCACCCTGTTCCCGAAGAGTTTGCTTGATCCGATATACCCGAATGGAATGGCTATTCCTTTTTACAAATGATTAGGAATTTGTAGACAGGGCAAGTAGGGTCGTATCCACAGAGACTGGGTATATTTGTTTCTTAAGAAATCCAAAGTAACACAGGGGGTGATTTTGTAGGAACGACGATAATTAAATAAATTCAAATGAGAAAATAAAAATAAACAACTAACTAGAAACTAAACCACAATTTACTGAACTCAGGATAACAATAATTAAAGGGCTAAATCAATTAAAACAAGGACACGTTCAAAAATAAAATAAAGTAGGCAAGTAAAAGTCAAATGGCACTTCACTAAAATCAAGATAATGTTAATTAAAGATCTAGCCAAGAAGTAACTTCAGCAATGGTTCACCTAATTGATCATTGATGCAAAGGCAATCCCAATTATTTACCAATAAATAGATTATAACTACCAAACAAGCGATGGCAGTCAACCCCTCCTTACTGTGTCGGTGATCAAGGTACGCCCGTTAATCACTGCTCTAATTGAGAAATAATCCTAGGTACGCCCGTAGAATTTAATTCCCCAACTGCCTTACGTATTAGAGGAGCCCTATTCTAACCAAATAACGCACTACCAGGGTTATTTTAGATTAGCCCACGTATTCCCCTAACACAAATCTAATCATGCCAGTTGTCACTGTTTTGAGGTGATTAAACAATTACGGATTTAATACCCCAATTGACAGTAGATTACCCAATCAATTAATTATCCGGATCCAAGACAACCAATTAATTAAATAACCATAAGCTTAGCAATCAAGGGATATGCGAATACCGATAAATAAAAGGAAAAGATTAAATTAAAATGATCTCACAATTTTAGGTGACCCAAAGCATCCGTTGCTCCTTGACTAGAGTAGAAAAATTAGTTCATAATGGATGAACTAAGCCCACACAAAATTGCAGAGAAACCAGCGGTCATGTCCGTTGAAATTTGGCAAAATCCAATTCGTCTCAATATATCGAATGAACAGAAAAGCTACAAAAGTTCGTGGTTTTCACTTCGTCTCAAGCTAAAGAAGAAAAGTCAAAAGAAGCAATTCTCCAATGTTCCTGCCATGCGCAGGATTCAAAAGAGAGGAAAAGGAAAAGTCAAAGCCCAAGGCTAACAAATGCCTTTTCTTCCTAACATCCGTAGGCTCCTCCAGCCAAAAAGTGAATTACAATGGAAAAGTCAAAAATGGCTGCTAAGCTCCAGACGGAAAATCAAGAACAAGCCAGATCCCCGGCTTGCTGCCTTTCCTTCTTTTAATTGCGGCGGGACCTCCACAGGAAGCGAAGCCCTCTGTCTGTCATTCCCTTGCAAAAATTACCAAAATGGGCATGACATCTTCTCTTCCAAAAGTGTCCTGGGACAAGCTTTCTCATCTGAATTCTTTTTTTTTTTTTTCAATTTGGCACCTGTTATCATATTTATATTCTACTCCCTGAAATAAACGTCAAATACTAAAAATGAGTAGAATCCAGCAATTAAATCCACATCAAGTCAGGTAATAGGAGGAATTAATAATAAAATAAATGAATAAATTGCAACCTATCAATATATCATCTGTTGGCCTCCTCTTTGTGATCATCTCTAGCAAAAGAATGCCGTAGCTGTAGACATCCCCTGGAGTTGATGCCGCATGACCCATTCCATACTCTGAATTTTTGTTTCTAGATATATTATTGTTATGTTGTAAAGGAGAATCTAAGGAAGTAAATTAAATATGGCTGCTATGTTTAAGTACTAGTTTGTAAATAAGACTTGATTGAAATTGTTAAAATGAATCACTACACATTTGGGTCAAGTATCTCCTTAAAACTAATGTCAATTATAACCCGTGAAAGTGCCAACTTTAAGTGCCAAACAGTAGTCTGTGCACAATTACCTGGAGCTGCGTAACCGATTGTTCCTTTTATAGCAATAGCACTGCTGGTTCCCTGCTGGGAAGATCTGTTGTTGGGATTTGGGAGAAGCCTTGCCAATCCAAAATCACCCACATGGGCAACAAGATCATTGTCAAGAAGAATGTTACTTGGTTTTAGATCACAATGAACAATCTCTGCTTCACAGTGGTTGTGAAGATACTGCAATGCTGAAGCCACATCAATTGCAATGTTCAGCTTCTGAGAAAGATTAAGACTTCTTGAGCTTGTTGCTTGATCAGTTGTCTCTGCAGGATGCAGCCACAAGTCCAGATTTCCATATTCCATGAACTCATAGACTAGAGCTTTGAATTCATCACCCTTGGAATCAATACTGGAGCAATAACTCACGATAGAAACGAGGTTTCTATGGCGAATATTTCTCAATGTTTTACACTCAGCCTTAAAACTTTTTTTAGCTCCGTTCTTTTGAAGATCAAGAACTTTAGCTGCTACAAGCTTATTACCATGTTTTTCTAGTGTGCCTTTGTAGACAGCTCCAAAATGTCCTGAACCAATTAAGTTTTCTGGAGAAAATCCTGAAGTTGCACGTTGAAGTTCATGGTAAGAAATTCGCAAGAGCTTATTGACTCTTGTAGGCATGCTAGAGAATCCGGCCACCAGTCTTCTTTCTCTTTTTCGATATACCAAGAGATATAACAATGCTGTACCAAGGACCAGAAGCGTTGCCAGTAAAACAATGGACAGCAATATGATAACCTTCATCTTTCCTCTGTTTTTCCATCTGATAACTCTGCAAGGTGGGAACTCCAATTCTGGAATGCCTCCACAGAGTTTGTTGTTGCCAATCAATGATATTTGACTTGCATTGCTGAAAATCCCTGTGTTTGGTACCTCTCCCTCGATGTCGTTATAGGAAAGGTTTAAGTACCTCAAAAACTGAAGCTTCTCAAGTTCTCTGGGTATTGGACCAGTCAAGTTATTACTCGAAAGGTCTATTTGCTGGATGCTCTTCAAAGCAGCCAAATTTGGTGGAATTGTTCCTTGGAAAAAATTGGCTTGCATGGAAAGATTCGCTAGATTTGAACAATCAGCAAGTGATATGGGTATATCTCCAGCAAGTTGGTTGTGGGAAACATTGAAATCCACCAAATGTATAAGCTTTCCAATTTCAGAAGGCAGAGAACCGCTAAACGAATTTTCACCCATTTTCATGTACATCAGTGATGAGTGCGTCTGCAAAAACTGTGGTGATATAATTCCAGTAAATTTGTTTTGAGATATATCCAGATATTGCAAATTTTGACAGTTCATAAGAACGTTGTCAAATATATTACCCCCTTCAAACTGGTTAGTTGATAACTCTAGACGGTATAGAACAGTGGCATTGCATAGGGTGGGGACTATCTGTCCTGACAACTCATTTTGCGCTAGACTCAGAAGTTGCAAATTTTGTAATTTGCCAAAATCTCTTGGAATGAGCCCAAAAAGAGAGTTTGCTTCAAGGGTAAGGATATATAAATTGACAAGATGTCCAAACCCTTCTGGAATAGTTCCTGACAGTTGATTCCCCCCCATGTACAATTCAGTGAGTTGATGTGAGAGATTGGCCATGACTTTAGGTATATTACCTCCAAAATTATTGCCACTCAACGAAAAAACGCTTAGATCACTGCAGTTGGTCAATGATGCAATAAAATCTAAGTCTCCAGTTGAATTACTGCCGAAGAGGTTTCTTTCAAGATTTAAAAATCGAAGATTTGTCAGATCTCCTAAATTAGTTGGAATTTGGCCTTTAAACTCATTACTAGGAATCGCAATTAGCTCAAGCCCAGAAGCATTGGTGATTGAAGTCGGAAAGTTTCCAAAGAACTTGTTTCCCCCCACATATAATCGTTTCAGTTTTGGTAGGGTGAGACCTATGTTGGTTGGGAGATTGCCATGAAAGGAATTGCCGCCCACTGAAATGACAGTAATGGCTGAACTATTAAAGATGGAGGCAGGGATTATACCAGATAGTTTATTTCCTCCTACTATTAACACAGCAACCTTTTTTAAGAGCCCCATCTCCTTGGGCAAATTTCCCTCCAGATTGTTGAAGCCCAGGCTGAGTCCGATCAATGATGATGATAAGTTCCCAATGGAGGAGGGAATCTCTCCTGTCAAATTGTTTGAATAAATATTAAAATTTTCAAGCTTCTTCAAATTGCTCAGCTCATCCATCGGAATTTTCCCTTCCAGATTGTTCCCCGCTAGGTTAATAGTTATCAACTCTGAGCAGTAGCCCAGGTTTGCTGGGATTTTTCCTCCGAGTGCGTTATTTGACAGGTTCAAGACTCTTAACCGGAAGAGGCGACCGAATTCTTGGGGAACCTCACCATGGAATTGATTCTCCTCAAGATGGATGAACCTCATGAAGCTTAGATTTCCGACATGGGGAGATACAGTTCCAAACAAGTGCTTATGCCTTAGAGTCAAGGCCATGACCCTTTGATGTCGAGAACTACATGTGACTCCTTCCCACCGACAATGGTGTTGTGAATGGTTCCAGGAATTCAGGACTCCAAACGGGTCGTCGTATATCTGATTCTTGAATTCAAGCAGAGCAAGGTGATCAGTCTCATTTTGAAATTGTTTAGAAGCTGAAACATGGCTTACTGAAAGGTTCATGGCAACTAAGAGAAGGAGAAACATGTTTGCTAATGTTGATGATGAGCGAAATCCCCACATGGTATTGGGGACTTCAATGAGCTGTTGGATGCGAAGATGGAATAATTTGCAACAAACTGATGATTGAATGATAAAAGTTTCTGTGGAATGGGAACAATGTTTGAGCTGTTACAGATTCTTGTAGTTCTGCTTTATATAGTCCACACAACTGGAACAAATGGACTTAGGCACTGTTGTTCGGGGTTGCGGTGCTTTTGGCAAAAAAAAAAAAAAAAAATACTTTTAGGTGTTAAAAGTATTTTTAAAGTGTTTGGTGAATGTCATTTCAATAAAATTAGGAGTAGAGCTTTTGGTGATAAAAACACTTTTAGCAAAAGCTCAAATTGGATACTTTTAAAGTAACCTTTGTGATTTAAAAAAAATAAAACATCAAATTAAATCATTTTATCCTATATTATGAATCAAATAAAGAGATAAATATTTTTAAATATTTTCAAATTACACGTTATCCAATACAATAAGTACTCATTGAACTATATCCCCAAATAATATATTTAAAAGTAACTAAGCAGTTAATAAGTATTTTTTATTAAAAATTCTATACTTTTTAATAATTTAACACGACCCAAACGGACCCTTAATTGTCTTGGTATTTATTTTTGGAGAAAAATGAGCTAAACGTCGTCATCAGAACTTAATTCAGAAATGGTCAGTGAGCTTCCACCAACTTACAATTTAGTAACCTTTACGTCTATCAATTTGGAAAATGGCCTGGACAGAGAATATATAGAAATCAAATGTGCATTTTTCAGTCAATCTGCCTAGGGGAGTCAGTTGCTCTGCTCTAAGTCTACACAAACATACAAAACTGAGCACAAATATTTTATCTGAGCTGAGGTCGGAGAAAATGTATTCCTCTCTCTTGACCTAAACAACAATACTAATGTCTTCTCTCAACTTACACTTCTTTGTGTGTTTTACGAGATGTCAACCACAATTTTTGCGATGACTAGTCAGCGGCGGATTTGTATGTAGGGGCCTGGAGCACCGGATTCCATTGGCAGGGCCTTCAAATGCTTTTTACTCTCATCATTTAGTTTCCTTGAAAGTCATTTTAATTTACTACTCATTAGTTAAATGCTTTCTTTGGGCTTTTTCCAATAAAATAAATATAGAATTAAGTAATCGTTTGTGAAATGAAAAATAAAGAGAAAGTAATGTTTTCCAATACAGCATATTTAACAATATCACAGGCAAACGAGCACTTTAAAAATGTTTAGCATGCTTTTTAAAAGAAAATGATTATTTTCTTAGTAAGTTTCAGCATGTCATTTTGGGTTAAGAAGAAACTTTAATATTGGTAGCTAAAAAACTTCTTTAATCCAGTCTTCAAATGCTCAAGCAGAGTTGAGCCGGTTGACTTCAACTTTTAAATCAGCATGACTCTAACCACAAAACAAGAAAATAAAATGGTTGAAGGATACATTTATTTTCAAAGCAAAAATTCATCAGCATGTATCTCTTCATGAGTGCACAAGCTAGCAGTTTCACTTTGGAGCTTCAGATCTGCATACAGCTGCAAATCCAAAGAATGCCACATCTTAGCAGTTAGCACCAAGAAGATACCCACTCCCATGCTAGGGAGTGAATTCAGAGTGTGAAATTAAAATGTACCTGTCAAGCCTCAAGATTTTCTTGATGTACCCTGATACCAAGAAACACGTCCCTAATGAGATGTAATTTTCTCAGAGCTTCATTCATGTGCATCCGCTCGTTTGGTAATCTTGCAGAGCACTCGAGTCCAATTGTCAACAGGGAAATCATACACTCCATCTCTCTTCTGCCATTAATCTTTTCCTCTCCTGGAGTCATTTCTCTGTACTGATCTCCTCCTTTTGAAAGAAGTAACGGGTCCACAATCTTGCAAACTTGTTCAGGCAGAGCCACATTAACATAGTTATGAAGATTTAGGCCATCAGTTAATATATCATCTGTTGGCCTCCTTCTTGTGATCATCTCCAGCAGAAATATCCCATAGCTATACACATCGCCTTGAGTTGATGCAGGGAGACCCATCCCGTACTCTGAAATTTTCTTTCAATATGTTACTCTGATGAAAAGGAACTCAAGGCAACTCTTCGAAATAGGATTAATGAATCAAGTGTGAGAAATCGTAACTAAGTAGAAGCAAAATGTAAATGCCTTGCACAAACAACTGGCTTTGGTCAGGGGTAATTAATTCAACCATAAAAATATAATTTTATTATTAAAATTTCTAATTAAATTAGCTTGAATTTTGTTTCACAGAGAATCTAGTATTGTTTAAGAACCAATGATTCAATTTGGTTTAGGTTCTTTGTATCTACAAATCTTGACCATATCGTAATAGATTGGAATTGGATATAAATTACCTGGAGCTGCATATCCGATTGATCCTTTAATTGCAACAGCACTGCTGGTTCCCTGGTCAGAAGAAGTACTGATGGTTTCAGGAAGAAGCCTTGCTAATCCAAAATCACCCACGTGAGCAGCGAAGTCATTGTCAAGAAGAATGTTGCTTGGCTTCAAATCACAATGAACAATTGTTGTTTCACATTGGTTGTGAAGATAATGCACCGCTGAAGCAACATCAATTGCAATATTCAGCCTCCGAAAAAGATTAAGGCAGCTGGATGTTGTTGCTTGATCAGTTGTTTCTGGATGCAACCACAAGTCAAGATTTCCATTTTCCATGAACTCGTAAACTAGAGCCTTGAATTCATGACCTTTGGAATCAACGCTGGAGCAATAACTTAAGATGGAGACTAAATTTCGATGGCGGATGTTTCTTAGTGCTTTGCACTCAGCCTTGAAGCTCTTAGAAGCCCCATTCTTCTGAAGGTCAAGAACTTTAACTGCAACAAGCCTATCTCCGTGTTGATCTAGCCTGCCTTTGTAAACAATCCCAAAACTTCCTGATCCGATCAAGTTTTCTGGAGAAAATCCCAAAGTAGCACGATGGAGTTCATGGTAAGAAACTCTTAACAGCTTATCGACTGTTGGGAGCACAAAAGATGAGCTGGCTTCTCTTCGATATCTTTTTTGGTATACCCCCAAATAGAACAACAATATTATACCAAGAGCCAAGAATGTTACTGGTAAAACTGTGGATAATAGAACAATGATCTTATGCTTTTCCTTTTTCTTTCCCATGATCAATGGACAAGGCGGGAAATGCAATTCAGTAATGCCTCCACAAAGTTCGTTGTTTCCCATCAAAACTATTAGGCTTGCATTCCCAAATATTCCGGTTGTTGGTATCTTCCCATAAAGGTCATTATAAGAAAGGTTCAGATACCTCAACGGCTGAAGTTTCTCAAGGTCTCTTGGTATTTGTCCAGTCAAGTTGTTAAATGAAAGGTCTAATACTTGGATGGCTTTCAGAGAAGCCAATTTTGAGGGAATCGTCCCTTCGAAAAAGTTGGCCTGCATTTCAAGAGTCTCTAAATCCAAACAATCAGCAAGCGATGGGGGTATTTCTCCAGAAAATCTGTTGTAGGCGACAGTGAAATTTACCATGTGCATCAGCTTTCCTACTTCCAGAGGTATAGAACCACTGAATGTGTTCTGTCTCAAACCCAGATATAATAGCAAGGTGTGCATCTCAAAAAACTCTGGTGATATAACACCACTAAGATTATTTATAGATACGTCCAGATATTGCAGATTTCCACAGTTCATGAGAATACTGCTAAATACATCGCTGCCTTCAAAAAGATTGTCTGCTAAGCCCAGATGGTACAGAGAGCTAGTATTACATAAGTTTGACAAAATTTCTCCTGACAACCTGTTTCGTTCTAGACCCAAATATTGCAAGTTTTGAAATTTACCAATGTCACTTGGTATGACTCCTGAAAGAGAATTCCATGACATGTCAAAGACAATTAGATTGACAAGATTTCCAAGTCCTTCTGGGATAGTTCCCCATAATTGATTTCCTTCAATGCCTAATTCAGTGAGTCCATGTGTGAGGTTTGCCACGGACTTAGGTAACTCACCACCAAAATTGTTTTCATCTAAGAAAATCGTATATAGATTACTATTGTTTGTCAATGATCCAATGAAATTCAAGTCTCCTGTAGAATTTCTTCCTAACCAATTTCCAGAAAGTTCTATTAATTGAAGGTTTGATAGATCTCCTAAATTACTGGGAACTTGCCCTTCAAGCTTATTGTTATCAAGGTCAAGTTGCTCAAGCCTAGAAGCATTGGTGATGGAAAGTGGAATATTGCCATTGAAGTCGTTCGTCCCAATTTGTAGGACTTGCAGATTTGGTAGGGTGAGACCTACGTCGGTTGGAAGGTTGTCATGAAAAGAATTAACTGGTATTGAAAAGACATGGAGAGATGATATGTTATAAACAGATGCAGGGATCCTACCAGATAATTGGTTTACTCCCACTCCTAATGAATGCAAGTTTTTAAGGAAGCCTATCTCCTTGGGCAGATTACGCTCCAAATTGTTATATGCAAGAAAGAGAGTTGTCAATGACGAAAGATTTCCGAGGGAGGAAGGAATCTCTCCTGTCAAATTGTTCTTAGAAAGATAAAGATTTTCAAGCTTCTTCAATTTGCTTAGCTCAATTGGAACTTTGCCTTCAAGTTTGTTGCTCGTAAGCGTAAGGCTTAACATATTTGAGCAGTTGCATAGACTAACAGGGATCTCTCCGCTCAGGAGGTTATATGATAGGTTAAGAAACCTTAGACGGAACAGATGACCAACCTCTTGTGGAATTTCACCATGGAACTGATTTTCCTCCAGATGGATGGATTTCATGAAGCTGAGATTTCCTATATGAGGAGATATGGTTCCAGACAAACCCCAGCCTGTTAGAGTTATGGCTGTGACCCTCTGATGTCGATGACAGGTGCCGAACCTGTACAATAATAATTACCTACTCAAGAAAAATACAGATTTTGTATATAGCGGTGAGCAGGGTCGAATCCACAGGGACTGGGGATAATTCGTTTCTTCTAGAGTCCAAAGTATGGGGGGTTTTGGATTGAATGCTAACTAAATAAATTAACTGCAGAAAATAATTAATTAAAAGAAATAATTGGAGACACTCTAGCCAAGGGTACACTTCAGAAATGGTTCAGGCACTGATCATTGATTCACACATAATTCCACATTTATTAATAGACCAGTTATAGTTGTCATGCACGCGATAAACAACCAACCTTTCCTTAATTTCTCGATAGTTAAGGTACGACCGTTAACTATTTCTCTAACCCAAAAACAACCCTAGGTACGACCGTAGGATTTAATTTCTAGATTGCATTAATAATTAGAAAGGCCCAATCCTAACTAACAAACACGCTACGAGGGTTTGTTTAAATTAGATCGTATGCTCCCCTGACATAAACCCAATTACGCCAGTTGCTACTGAGATAAAGATAACGAACAATTACGGATTCAATTATCCCTATTTAGCAAAATAGCCTATGTGAATAATTAAATATTGCGCATCTATTCAATCACTCACACGAGCTATAGCAATTAAAAGCAGGAAACATATAAATACCAATAAATTAAGGAAGCAATTAAAATAAATTAGATCTCACAGTAATTGGTGAACCAAATCTTCAGTTGTCCCCTTGACTTGAATTAAGAGGTTAGTTCTCCATTAATGGAGAACAACCATGCGAAAGAGCTAAGAAAAGAAAACTAAAACTATGCTAAAAGTCTAAACTAAAACTATTGATTCCTCCACCTCTCGTACGTTTCTCCCTTTTTAAAGCCAAAAGGAAGTCTAATGCTATCTCTAGTGGTCCCCACACCAAATTCAAAGTCTTGTACGTTTCTTTTCCTAGAGTCCAAATGACTCATGCTCCTTATCCGTGGTCCCCGCACATGTGGACAAATCCTCCAAAGTACTTGTTGTTCCAAGTCTCTCTACGTTGCTTTCTTTGAAAAGCCCAAATGACTAAATGCCTTGCACTAGCTTGTGGTCCCCACCAATTCAAGAGTCCAAGGTCCTTAGAAGTCTCCATTTTCCCATAAAAGTCCCTCCTTTTTGGTAATTTTCTGCTTTGTTCCTGAAATTAAGTCCCAATACCAAATATAAGTAAATATTAATAATTAAAACAATATTTGGCAAGGATAAAGGGGAAATTAACAATAAAATTACTAACAATTAACACCCTATCAGTCGACTATCACATGTGATCCCCGGCCATCGGCAATGGTGTCGTGTTTGGTTCCACGAGTTCAAGACAGCATGTGGATCATCAGATATCTGACTCTTGAACTCCAGCAGAGCGAGTCTATCAGTTTCATTTTGAAGTCGATTGGTGGCCAAGGCATGATTTACTGCAGAATTGTTGATGGCAGCGAGAACTACAAGCAGGATCAGAATGTCCATTGAGATCGATGACCAAAATCCCCAAGAAATGGAACTTTGAAGCTCCATTACTGTTGAAAGAAGGAAAATAGCTCAATGTTGAGTTTGACAGGGGAGGATGAAATAATGTTAAGAAGCTCTGAGAAGTCCGAAGTGTATGAAAACTCAGGGAGAGATCTTTTCAGGGACTTTTGGAATCTGACTATTTCATTTTGATTATGACTGAAGTTGAAAGAGGCAAATGTAGATGGCGCACTCCATTGTTAACGACAAAGTGATCATGAGTTAAAGCTGCTCAGCTGTTTAGATTAGATAATTTCATCATATTTCATGCACTCAAGTCGACATTTTTGTGGTTTACCATTTTGCATCTATAACTGACTACTTTTCTGGTTAATATTCCTGGACACCACACTTCTGCTTCTTGTTAATATTCCTCATTTGGTTGCTAGATGCTAGATCAGGACAATGGTTTCTAAGCAATATGGTTTATTGGGGAAATGAGGGAATTTTTTTGGGCAAAATACACTTCACTCCCCTGTGTTTTAGCGATTCTTCACATAAAGCCCTACAGTTTCAAAAGTTATAAAATAGAAAAATTGAACCTCAATTTGTGACTCTATTCAATTCTCATGTATACCCATAGCCAATTAGGCGGGTTGGACGGGTTTTGAGCGGGTTAATATTGGGTTTTCACTTAAATGGGTTATACCCAACCCGCCCAATTTTAGATTGGGTTGATTTTGGATTGGGTCATATTGGGTTATCTCAAACCCATGATCCAAATATGACCCAACAAATTAATTAATACATTTTAATACATAAACTTTTTTACATACATTTTAATACACAAAATAGATTTTTGTCACACATATAAACACATTTTCACATACATAATGTATTTTTGCACACACAAACACACACTCACTTCTTAAGTTCCTTGGAAACACATCATAAATTGAATAATATTTTATATTGCTTGTATTGTGAATTTTAGATAATAAATTATACATTTAAATAGATTAGCTTAAAAAATTGTTTACTTTGTATTTTTTTAATACTACTAATTGATTGAAACTTATTTTTGTCACAACTTATTAACACTTTTACTATTCATATCTATTTTATTGTAAATTGTAATATTCTATGTATTTAAATTATTGAATGCTATATTATATTATACTTGAAAATGTAAGTAAGAGACATATACTTGAAATAAAGGCGTGGAACGGGAATACGCCAAAGATGCAATACTCAAACAAATTACTAGAATTTATTCAAAATTAATTGATATAAAAGTAATAATAATTAGTATTCGAAGGTGAATATCTGATTACGTCATTCAACTCAAATAGAATGAATGTTAGGGAATGCGTCAAATATGATCTACGAAAACCATATGCAATAAGCAGACGTTTGAAGGGATTGTCTACGAAAATGTCCTGTAGATCGATCACTTCTTTCACACACAATAGCTGAATATTGCTCCACATGTCGAATGACATATAATTTATATGCTAGACATATAAAAGTAAAATAAGCTTGAGTTTTTATTTCAAATTTCTTTTTTTAAAATAAAAATTAAAAAAATTGATTGAAAATACATATATATATATATATATATATATATATATATATATATATATATATATATATGAGAATTTTGAATACAAATTAATTAATGAATTATTAACACATGTCCAAATGTGAATAGTTGGGCATATTTGTATTAAATCTTGTATTTATTATTTTGAATTACTTTTAAATAAGTTGGGTATTGGATACCCAAATAAAAAATCCAACCCGCCCAATGAATAAGTTGGGTTTTTCTTATCCAACCCAATAAAACCCATAACCCAATTGACCCAACCCATTCTTTAAAATTAATGGGTGAGTTGGGCGGGTTATTGGGTTTTGGACTTTTTTGTCAACTCTACCCGTAGCTATTAAACTTCAGGATTTTCCTGATGTACCCTGACGCCAAGTGGTTTTGGGAACAAATTGTTAGGGGGCCGAATGCAATTAACCCTATTATTTTCGCACTTTTGTTTTTGTAGAACACTGGAAACCTACTGATTGGGAATACTAATTTAAGGTTGTAGGCATTGTGAATAGGGATGGCGCGGGCACCCGCCCCCGTGGGGGGCTCTCGGGGCGGGGGTTGGGGCGGGGGGGAAATTTTTTCCCCCAATTTAGAAACGGGGCGGGGGGCGAGGGTTTTTCCCCTGGTTTAGAAACGGGGCAGGGGATATACCCCCGCCCCCGCCACCCGCAAAAAAAATAATAATTATATATAATATTTAATTTAATTAGTTATAAACTTATGATAATGATATTATTAGTTAGATGTATTATATAATGTATATTAGTGTATGTAATATAATTGATATTATCAATTATACAAATAATTAGACATGTCTACTAATAGAATTTATTAATTAGTTATACTAAATTGACTAATACATTTATACTAAATTTCTAATTACACTTTTTTCTCAAAAAAAAACACAAACACAATAATGAATTAGTGATTGTATTTGTACCAAAAGTGAAAACTTAACTATTTTAGTTGTATTTATTTTCAACATGTTGGATTGTATTCAAATAACTTTTGTTTGATTTTTTTAATGAGTTTCAATTGTAAAATTACAATGAATAATAACTTGATGATGTGTTGATATTTTAGTACTAAAAATTTAACTATAATAAAATTTTATTAATTCCGCGGGTGCCTCCGCGGGGAAAGCGGGACGGGGCGGGAGGCAGGGGTCGGGGAAAATTAATCGGCAACGCCCCTCCCCCGCCCCAATCCGCCCCGTTGCCATCCCTAATTGTGAAATAGCATCATTATTATCCGGACAATGGTGACTTGCTGACTGGGAAAACCTTTGCACCATTGGTGAGCTTCGAGTTTGACTGGTCCAAGCGTTACGAGGGACCAATTCTTGTTGACTCAACTTTCCTGTCTTCCCACCAAATGCGACTAACGGTCAAGAACTATACATTGATCATCTTCCGGCGACAAAACTAACCCGCTAGTAAAGGATAAAATCATTTGGTATCCCTGAATTTTAAAAGTATCTCACCAACCTCCCTTATTTTAAACTTTTTTGTAACTTTGTCAACCCATTTCAAAGATATCATCATTTTGGGAAAGATAAAAAATTTTATTTCAAAATTACCGTTTTATTGTGGACCTTTACTTTTCATAACAAACCAATTGATATTCCTACAAACCTCGGGGGAGGTTTTTGAAATTATCCCAATTAAATAACAGCTCATATGTGTAGTGTGAGATTTGAATTCCCTGATGTAAATCTTCATGACCAACAAAAATCTCACTGGAGTTCTTCTTTATAGATATAAAATAATTTAAGAAGTGATTTTCTCGGAAATCTTTTTCAATTTTACAGATGATTAATTTTTGGATAAATTACTTATTATTCTAAGGTTTTAAAATAGCCACATAACCCCTCTGTGGTTTTATGTATAGTGAAAAAATGGATAGAATGTACAATTAGTTATAGCATTTATATTAAACATGCTTAAAAAACGTGTGTGATAAAATCTTAATATTCATGTAACTCCCTTATGGTTTATAAATATTCACTTTACCCTGTTGTGATTTATGTATTTAAACGCATAATCTCCCTATACTTTTACACAAGGTAGTTAAGCTGTTAATTGATTTAACAGTTAAGTAATGATACTATTGGTATTTCAACTAACAACTTACACAAGCTATTTTCTATCAAGTTTTCACTTTACATAAAATTATAGGGGTGAAGTGGATATTTTGAAACGTTATGAAGGCCAATAGATGAAACCACAGGGGGTTATATGTATTTTATCCTTAATTTTTAGACTTTCCTTTGTTTCCAATCGACTGCTTTAGTGAATTGAGCTTATTCCAGAGCTGCTGTTGTTTCACTAGACGATCGGCTGCTTTTGCACCAGAAAAATAGACAGAAAAGGAAAATCTTCATCTATCAAAGTTCCGCAATGATCAAAACATTGATGCATTTTATGCATTTCAAACTGCACTAACGCATATATATTATCCAAGTTTTTATTGCAATTTATCAGTATTAATTTGACTCTGGAAGTACTTCAAAAGCTCCACTGACTGCTGGTATCTAGTCAACATCTTTGAAAGGCATCTCTGATGGGATGTAATTCTCTTGTGATTTCTTGCATGTCAATGCGATCTTTGGATGATTTTTTTGGAACATCCCAGTCCAACTTGAAAGATCGAATCAAGGCATTTTTGCACCTTGTTTATATCACCTGACAAACCTAGATCAATATGGTCTGTTGGGGAAATGAGAGAAATAATTTTTTTTAATCATTATTTTTTACTAACATCTGATATTGTCGATCATATAATAAGGAGTTAATCACAATAACTCCCCTTAAGATTTAACAAGTTTTACACTTTTCTTTATAACATTATTTTTTTTCACTTTACCCCCCTAAACAATTAGTCAACTCTAACACTGCATAACAAAAATGTCAAAAGGACATTGAACTCCAAATCTAGCTACTAATAGAAACGGTTAGATGTATGCATATTTCCAAAGAGAAACTGACAATATCCCATTCATTTTGGATTTTAAAAATATTTTCACATTTTAATTTTTAATAACAATTTTTCTTTGTCTTTCCCATTATTAAATCAAATTAGCAAGATATTCTCCTTAATCTTAAAAAAAGTGAAATTATTGAATGAAATTTAACTATGACCATATATATATATAACTAATTTTTTATTATTATGTTAGGAATATTGATTTTTTAGATATTAATTGTCCTATGTGTTATCAAATATTAAAGTTCACTAATGACTTTAGTAACAAACAAACAAATTGATAAAAAATGATGTTAGGAGATCAAGTCTAAAACAAGTTATGCTTTAAAGCAATTTATCACAGTTAATTCTTAGGGGTATAAATATCTTTTTGACATCATCATTACATAATATTAGAGTTGACTAATGGTTTAGAAGATAAAAAGAGAAAATATAATGTTAGGGACAGAGTGCAAAAGTGGTTATACCTTAGGGGGATATT